GAAGAGAAGAGAAGAGAAGAGAAGAGAAGAGAAGAGAAGAGAAGAGAGAGAGAGAAAGGAAGGAAGGAAGGAAGAAGGAAGGAAAGAAGGAAGGAAGGGGAAAGCAGGCAAGAAAGAAGGAAGGAAGGAAGAAAAAGAAAGGAAGGAAAGAAGAAAGAAACAAAAAAACAAAGAAGGAAGGAAGAAAAAAGAAAGAAAGAAAGAAGGAAGGAAGGAAGAAGGAAGGGAGGAAGAAAGAAAGAAAAAAGAAAGAAAGAAGGAAGGAAGGAAGGAAAAAGAAAATGAGAGAGATGAGGGAGGGAGAGAAAAAGAGGAAATGAAGGTTAATGATGGCACAAAAATGTACAGCAAATGAGAGTGGGATAAAGTTCCTTCATTTCTTGTGTTTCTGTACCCCACCCTCATCCAATCATACATTTCTACACCATCATTAATGGTCTCTTGTCTTGGAAAAATCCTGGTCCACCTGCCTTTCTGATTGCTCCTGTACCATGTCCTCCATGACTCCTTCCTGTTCTTGTATTCCCTCTCTGTTGAGTATTCTGTCTCCTTAGTTCTGTCTTAGAATTCCCTGCTGTCCAGCCTCTTCTAGAAAGCTCATCCAAACTTATACTTTCTACCATGACTCCTGAGCCACTGCACATCCATCTTCCCTTCCCATGGCCAGTCCAAGACTACATAGTTGTCACAGGATCATATGAAGCAAAGGTCTCCTCGTCCAAGTATTGGAAGTCCTCCCTTGACTGTCTACTTCTGTGAGTTAGAGTATCTCCCTCAAACTGAGGCCCAAAGATGGTAAAGAACCTGCCCAACATCACACAGTCTTAATCAAGATGATTCCAGGTTGCTTCACCTACCTAAAAGCAGATGTGATTCAGAATATATTTCAAACAAATAACTGATTTGAATGTCTCAGTTTCAACTTGGTCTGAATGTAGTGGAAAGAACACTAGACCTACAGTCTAGTCAGAGGACCCAGGTTCAAATCCCAGCTCTTCCCCTGACACCAAGTCACCTGTGTAACCTCAGACAAATCACTTCCCTCTTTTGGCTACAATTTCTTCATTGGTAAAATGACAGCATTGGACTGGATGGCCTTCAGGGTCCCCTTCCAAGTCTATGTCCCAGTTATATGTTTTAAGAACCCATCCCCAGTCTTCCTATTCTATGTTCTAAGGTTGCTTCCTGTTCTGATGTTCAGAAATCTAAGACCACTCCCAGATCTAAACTTATGGCCTAAGGGGGCTGATTAGTGCCCAGCCCCACTACATCCTTCCCCTCACCCTGTTCCCCTCCCACCAGCACCAACATCACAAATGTCAACTTAAGGGAATAAGTTCCAGTTCCTGGTACCATAATGAGAAAGATTTCATTTTTGCTCAACATCAAAAGACTGCTGGGAGCGGCTGGTGTGAGGAGAGGCCTGTTTTCTCCTTGAGCAGAAGGAAGGATGAATAGGAGGTGCGGTGAGTTCATGAATAAAATCGCTTCTATTTTTGTGTACATTTGGTATTGGCAGCTGTATAGCCACAAGATTTATGTCAAACACAGCCAGGGAAAGAGATGCCAGTTACTGATGAATCTCAATAAGATATTCTTCTTTTGATGCAAGGGGCGGAGAGGAGGGGAAGCTGATGTTTAAATGCCTCATACAGCTCTCCCCAGAAAGAAGGATACAGCAGCATGGGGTGGTGGAGGGAGCCTTGCCCTCAACAGAGAAGCTGATCTCAGCTTGGCTCCAATTTCAACTTGATACCCAAGCTCAAAAGGATCTAGAAGTGACCCTAACAGTCATCTCCTCTCACTCACTCACTTTACAGATGAATAAACTAAGGCTAAAGAGGGGAAAGGACTTACCCAAGGTCATGCATGACCTAAGGAAAGTTAAGAAGTCATGTTCTAAGAGTGTAAGTTGCAGAGAAGGTACCACTTCTTTGGTTAGGAAGTTCCTTACCCTAGCTCCCTATATTGATGAAATCATAGGTCCAAGGAAAAAAAATTCTGGGTCATAAGATTTAGAGCTGAAATAAACCTTAAAGATCATTGAGTCTAATCTCTTTATTTTACAGATGAAGGGACAAGCCACTTGCCTAAAGTGCCACAGATAAGTAGTTACCTTGGAATCAGAGAGCCAAAGAATTTTATAGCTAGAAGGGACCTTAAAAATCATCTAATTCAATTTTCTAAGATAGAGTATTTCAAATTTTTCCCACAAGCAAGTTCTGGACCTGGGTCATCCTGTCCTCTTCTCCCTGGCCACAAAATGCCAGGTAGCACTTACACATACTCCCCTCATAGCTATAGCTGGGGGTGGGGGAGGGGAGGAGAACAGTGCTATTATAAATAAGAGAATAGGACTGGGAAGGAGGAGGGGCAGGTGGAGGCCCTCAGAGAGCTCATTAGAAGGAAACATCCTTCAACTTGTACCTTCTGGTCTCCCAGCCCAGCTTCTCTCAAGTATTCAACCACAGGGAAAAGAAAAAGAGGAGCTAGAGAGATATATTTATTTATATGAGGCATTCTGGACAAGAGAGAGTTAAGGAACCAAGGGAGGGCAGGACCGACAAGGTTGGGGACAAGTAATTATCAGAACTAGATAGACAAAGCCTGCTTAGATTTCCTGGACTGAGACGTTGCTATCTGTTGCTAGTGCTAAGGTCTTAGCTTTGGGCTAGGGCCCTGTCCATGGTCCTAGAGGGATAGATTTCCCTCCCCCCCCAAGTATCAACTGACCCAGAAAGGGAAAGAAAAGAACCCCCAGGATCAGCCTGACAAGCTCCCTAACACCAGTCAAGACAGAGGATGAAGCTTTACTTCTGGTAAAGAGCCCAGAGGGTCCTCCAGAGGGTGGAGTAGGGGTCCTAGGTCCAGGAGGACTAAGTTTTACATCGAGTAAATGATATTCAATTCAATTCAACAAACATTTGTCAGGAGCTTACCTTGTTCCAGGAACAAAACCAGGAAAGAAAGAAGAAAAGGAAGGAAACAAGCATAAGTGGCTGCAATGTGCCATGAAGAGTGCTAAACATTTTCAAATATCTCATTTGATCCTCACAACAACTCTGGGAGGTACGTGTTATTATTATCCCCATTTTACTGTTGAGAAAACTAAGGCAGACAGAGTTTAAGTGACTTGCCCAGGGTCACATAGTTTGTAAATGCCTGAGGCAGGATTTTAACTCAGGTCTTCCTGACTTGAGGTCCAGCATTCTATCCACTGTACCATCTAGATATTAGGTAAACATATAAAAATGAAAAAAAAATCCTTGCCCTCACAGAAGGCACAGAGGCACAGAGTGTCTAATTAGGGAGGGGGATAATACACACAGGCAACTATAATACAAGCTGAGAGTGGGGTGGGGTATCCAGATCTGTGACTTCAACAGTTTGAGGAACTCCTGGTATGGAAATTCCTTCCATCACTGCAGATCAGCAATTCATCTGTTACTAATAGTCTGAGCAGTTAAGTGATTTATCCATGTCATAGCTAGTATGTTCCAGAGTTTGTATGTGAACCCAGGTGTTCCTGATTCCAAAGTCAACTCTCTATCCACATTGTGACTCATAATATGTTAGAATGCTAATGATATATAGAAGAAGGCAGAAAAGATGAGAGATACGAGAAGGAAGAGCTCATTTCTCTCTATTATGAGTAGGGTAAGATACCCATGAAGCAAAGATAGAGCCAGTTGGTGGGGTAGGCTGGGGTTGGGGGGGAGAGGGAGGTGAGCTCTCCAGGATACTGGGCTTAGTCTCTTCCTGGGGCTCTATCTAACCCTCTAGGGCAGAACCCTTTTTCTATATAGCCTACTTGCCATATACTTGTATATCTTGTGGTTTTAACTCCCCAATACCAGCTGCCTTCCCTGACTTTACCCCCCCCAATCTCAATCATTTCTTATGACAGCCACAAGCAGAATCCTCACCCTACCACACTCTTATTTGAATGTACTTTTACTAATACATTGCTTAGCTCTAGCTGGGGACCACCAGCCTGGTTCCCCAATCAGGTTCCTGACAGCTTGGCTATCGATGGTGATTCAGTTACAGATGAGGCCTCCCTCACAGTGACATAGACACTGAAGGAGTCAGACTATTATGGGACTGCTTTTCCAAATACAGATCAGGGATATGCTGGGACAAACCTATGAGGAAAAGGCATTTCAGACAGAGAAGATATCCTGGCTCAGGAGCAGAAAGGATGTCCACATGGGGCAGGGGGAATCTGTTGAAGCCTGCCTAGGAGGCTTCCTTTCAAAAGAAATCCTTGGATGGATAGTTTGGAAGGTGAGATTGGCAATTTACCAAGAGTTTCTCTAATAAAAGATACACAATAGGGAGACTGAAGCTCAGAGACCACCATAGTGGAGGAGAATCTCAAAACATATAAAGCCAAATTAAACCAGGAAGGTGATTACTGGGCAGGAGAGGCCATGGTACAAGATTTATAGAAGAATAATATGAAGAATAATGATTCTGGAATAAAGTTCCTGGAAACTAAGGATCTAAGCCATAGAGGAGTCAAGTAGGGTCTAGGGTAGTGGATTGAGCAACTGTCTGAACACTGGGAGATAAATATTTTATCTGTTCATCATTTCAATGAGTAGACATAACTTTAATGCAGCAGGTGGTTCCATCAATAGGGCTTGGCACATCCTTGCCATTTACAAAGCCAGTAGGACCATGGCCAGGAGGTCGGGTCTCAGGGCACAGTGTCCAGGCACTCCTGTTCCTCTTGCTCCCTCTCAGAAGTGTCCAATCAGATGACCAATGTCTGAAGATCACTCCAGTGCTGACTTAGGTAGGCTGAGCTAAACTGCTTCTGGAAGAGAAGTCAGTCAGTCAGTCAATAAGCATTTATTAGCATATTAGCAATTAACACCCATCTCTACTAACAATCTGATTGCCCTTAGGGCTATGAGAAGAAGAGGGAGCTGAATAAGCCTTCACAAATGCTTGTGAAATGGAATGGAATAGAATCAAAGTGCTGGGCCTTACCTTCACCCACCAGCTCAAAATCTTATCTACAATATTTAAGGAGCTTAGAAAAATGTTGAAGCCAGTAGCCAGGCAGTGGCTGAGCTAGAGGAGAGCAATTTTTCACTGAGTCCAGGTATAAGCCTGCATGATGAAGATAATTGTGAAACCTCCAGTTCTCTCTGAACCAAGCCAAAATGGACTCAAAAGTCAGAGTTAGGATTATAAATGAGGCTTGTTAGTGGAAGTGGGTTCTCCCAAGGACAGTGAATGGCATATATGCCAGGGACTGGGAGGCTGGGCCAGACTGTTCTTTTCCCGGGGTGGGAAAGAGCTAGGGGCTAGGATTAAAAGACCCTCTATCTTGTAGTCTGGCCTCCTATAGATAGGCCAGCCTAAAGGATATTGAAATGCATTACTTCTTAGAAGAAAGTCTCTAGTAGAGTGTCCCATGCATTTTTTCTTGGGTTTGCTCTGCTCAATATTTTTATCAATGACTTGAATCATGACATGTGTAGCAAATTTGCAAATGATGTGAAGCTGAGGATAGGTGTAGATAGCGCATTAAATGACAATCAAGATCCAAAACAATCTCAACCATACTAAAACACTGGGGCAAATGTAATAGTATTAAATTTTCTTGAGGGTAAAATCCTACATTTGGGTTCAAAAAATCAACTATATGTGTATTAGGAAGAAGGAGAGCTGGACAACAATTCATGTGAAAAAAAAAACCCTCAGGTTTTTAGTGGTCTGCAAGATCAATATGAGTCAGCATACAACATAATGGCCAATTAAAAAGTTTATAAAATCTTAGACTACAAAAAAAAAATAGTGTCCACAATGAGGAAAGATATTGCTAGTACAGCAGATACTACTATTCTCTGTTCTTGTCAGTTCTGGGTTCCACATTTTAGGAAAGACATTTACTGACAGAAATATGTTTGTGAGAGAAGGAGTGACAACCAAAACGGTAAGAGAACTCAAAATCATGCCCTACAAGGTTTTGTTGAAACAACTGCAGATGTTCAACCTGCGAAAGAGAACACTGACTGGGCACATGACAACTGCCTTCACATTGTTAAAAGTCTGTTATGTGGAAGAGGGCTTAGCTGTCTTCTTCTTGGCCCCAGAGGGCTGAACTGAGAGCAATGGGCAGAGGGTGCCCGGAGACAGATTCTGGTGTAATACGAGAAAAACTTGCTTACAATAAGAGCTACCCAACAGTGAGATGAGCTACCTCAGTAGGTAGATAATTTCCCATCATGGAGGTCTTCTGATAGAGGCTGGATAGGCAAGGATGCTATAGAGGAAATAGATGTTGTTATAGGTAAAACTAAATAGTCTCTGAATTCACTGCCAACTCAGAAATCCTATGATTCTGAAACAACAAGCAAATCAAATGTGACCTTGGCCAAGTCATTTTCTTCTCTGCACTTGTTTACTCCTATAAAATAAGAGGTGGTAGAATAGATACTCTCTAAGGATCTTCCCAGCTCTAACATTCAGTGCTCTCCAGTTTTAAAGGCATTGGGTCACAGACAAGGTTGACCAGGATAGGGTCTGAGGGAAAAAGGATTCAAGGAGGTCATTTGTTTGGGGTATTTTTTCCCAATCAACTGGGGCAGAGAGCACTTTCAAGATGCTAGATAATGAGTTTCAAACCAGCTGGCCCAACTGGTGCACACTTTGCTGCTCCCTCCAGAGTATCCTGATGATGGGCATAAGGCATCCATCTGCTGATCCCTTCATAGTGATCCCCTCCCAACAAATACACTCCCTCTCTTAACAACAGCTCTGGCCATATGGTGTACCAGGCACAGGGACTCCCGGTTCAGGGGTTCCAGGTGCAGATGTCGCAGATGACAAGAGGTGGCAAAAATATTTGTCTGTCACAACCAACAGAGCCATGTAATATATGCAGTGCGCCATAAATAATTAAACAGAGGATGGAAGCAGGCTTAGCCTCCCCTACCCTCTAAGCCCTGAGATCCTGGAAAATGTTTGTACCTCATGGAAACTCAGAAGAAATGGATTTTATGTTACTTTCAAACCAAAGCTCTGGCCTGGTATGAAATAATGTCACATTGTTCTCAAGGGTCATCAGGAAGCTTATGTGGCATTGCTGAGTATGTGGTACTATGGAAATCAAAAGTGAAGGATATTGGCTCTTGTCCTCAGGGAGCTGCCAGTCAGAGAAAGGAGGTATAGCCCCAACCTAGGAGGCCTAGATGAAATCACAGCAGATGTTGATACGTGTGCATTGCTTTGTTTCTGTCACCCAAGCCCCTGGTACTCTTCCTTATGTCTACAATCTCAGAAAGGTAGCTGTCTTCCCACTCCCCATTTTCTTTACCACAAAACACTCCCAGGACAGCTTTCTCAAGGGCAGCAAAAGCTACTTGCCTAAAGGTGTGAAGAGAAGTGGAAAAACTTCATCTAGGGCAGTAATGACAGGTACAACGAATAGAATCATAGTCCGACATTCCCCAGCTTAGAAAACGGTTCTTGCTAAGGTCCTTAGGCTGGATACATCTATTCAGATTATTTTGTCCAACCCTGTTCAAAGAAGCTTCCCTAACCCTGGAAAAATCACACCCTTTCTGAGCCTCAATGTCCTCAAATAAAAAAAAAATTGGAGAAAAGTGACTAAACTATTCATGCCTTTGACCCAGTGAAAGTAATAGGCCTATAACCTTAAGGAGGTCAATGATAGTAAGTTCCTACATATTACACAATATTGATGACAGCATTTTTTGTAGTAGCAAGTAACTGAAATGACTGAAAAAATTATGAAACATTAGTGTTGTTATTGTTCAATCATTTTTCAGTCGTGTTCAACTCTTCATGACCCCAGTTGGGGTTTTCATTGCAAGAATACTAGAGTTGTTCGCCATTTCCTTCTCCAGCTCATTTTACAGATGAAGAACTGAGGCAAACAGGGTCACACAGCTAGTAAATGTCTGAGGACAGATTTGAACTCAGGAAGACTCCAGGCCCAGCACTCTATCCACTGTGCCACCTTGCTGCCCAATGTTAGTGTAGTGAAATATTATTCTGCTGTAAGAAATTATATATATATATATATATATACATATATAACGTAAAGAATTCAGAGACACTTGGGAAGATATATAAACTGATACAAAGCAAGACGCATAACTAAAAGAGTATACACTATGACCACAATAACATCAGGGAAAACAAAGTGTATAAATATCAAAACTCACCTCAATGCAAAGACTAATCTTTACTCCAGAGGACTCCCTCCTTCCACTAGAGAGGTGGAGGACAACAGGTACTGTTTAAGATTTTTAAAAGCATCATTAAAGCATTGAATATAAAATGAGGGGGTTGGAACTCTATGTGCTCAGTCTCTTCTAGCTCTAAATCCAATGAGAACTATAGTTCTGTGACATAATTCCAAGCTGCTACTGAAGTTAAATGAAGCCCAAAATCAGATCTAGAACACACGTCAGAAGCCATCCAAGTCAACCAATATCTAAACAGGAATCCTTTCTACCACATCCCTGGTGAGTGGTCTTCCGGCCTCTGCTAGAATATTTGCAGAGATGGGGAACTCAGTGCCTCCAGAGGTGGCCCGTTCTACTTTTGCACAGCTCTAAGCAGTAGGAGGAGGTTTTTTACTTACCTTGTGCCTAAACTGTTGGGTCTAGAATTAAAGTCTGAACTCCACATGGGGTCAGACCTGAGCTGAGGAGAGCCAAACTGTCTCTCCCCTCATTCTGCAGACCAAAATCACATTAGCTTTAAGTGTTACTGTATCACCCAGTCGACTGACACTGAGTTTGTAGCCTTACCTTTTCTCTAACTACCCTCTTTCTTTCAGCCAAGACTCTTGGCTTTCCCTTTGATTTATTGTTTATTCAGCCACAACTATGTGATCTCTCCCGGAGGAAAGAAAGAGGTATCTGTTTTGATATTAGCAAGGTACCTATTCACATTCATGGAAAATACCAGCATTATTTCACTCAGATAGCAATAGTGCAGTGAGAACACAGTGCCTCTAAAACCCCTGAAGGGACACAGAACAAAGCAATGGTCAGAGAATTTGTGGGTTAACCAGAGGAGGCTTCCTAGAGGAGACTCCCTTCAGAACCTGGCTATGAAGAAGGGGCAAGGGCAGGAAGTAGTGGAAGTAGGGGAGGGGGGTGTTTCCAAGGTAGGATTTGAATCCAATACTGAAGTTACCAAAGTCTAAAGTTGGTTGCCATGGGACAGCTCTCTCCCTAACTTATGTCTAAGCTGTCTTCATAATAGAGAGGTTGGAATATTACCTGAGGCACAAGAAAACTCCCCTCTGAAATTCCTGACCCAGAAGGGAACAGTCAAGGTAAAAAGAAACAGGTGGTATAGACTTGTCTGTACTACTTAAGGATATCACATGGAAGGAAAGGAGCCAATATAGACAGAAAATTCAGTGAAATGAGTGGTATCTGAATCAACAGCATGATATAGCCATCAAGAAGGCTAAATGAAGGAAAGAAAAAAGAAAGAAGCATTTATTAAATGCCTACTATGTGCCAGGCACTGTGCTAAGTGCTTTACAAATATTATTTCATTTTATCCTCACAACATTATAGATACCATTACTCATTTTACAGTTGAGGAAACTAATGAAGACAGTGCCTAAGTGATCTGCCCAAGGTCACCTAACTTGTAAGTGTCTGAGGTTGGATTTGAACTCAGGTCTTCCTGAGCCCAGGCCCAACACACTACCCACTGTGTCACCTAGTTGCCTCCATTGAGCCTATTAACTGTGTTGAGACATATAGCATCCAAAAGTAAAGAGATGACTATTCTGCTATACTCTGCCCTGATCAGACATCATAAGGAGTCTGTGTTCAATTCAGGGAATCACATTTCAGGAAGGACATTGATAAAGAGAGTGTCCAGAGGAGGACAGGATGGTGAAGACAATCAAGTTCATGCTATATGAGGATTCACTAAAGGAACTGAGGATGCTTCTGGTGATATAGAGACCCTCAAAGCCAATGTGATCTTGTGTTGCAGAATGAGAAAGTTTGTTTTGTTGTCCTCAGGTCACTGACCCAACGTTTTAGGAAGGACACTGACTGTCAATCAGAAGCATGTCCAGAGGAGGGTGAGCAGAACAGTAAGGAACCTGAGATTGTGCTGACTTAAAGAAGAGAAAGCTCAGAGGGGAACATAATAGCCATCTTCAAGTAGTTGAAGGGATGATTAGACTTGCTCTACTTCAAAACTAGGTGGGTATTGTTAAAGGGGAAAAGGTAAGATTCAAGGAAGGAAAACTTCCTAACAATGAGAGTTATCTTAAAGTGGACTGAACAGCCTCTAGGTCCCCCTCACTTGAGGTCTTCATGCAAAGGCAAGATGCCCATCTCTCAGGGGATAGGACTACATGGCTTCTGACCCTTCTGACTCTGAAATTCTGATTCTGGGGTTTCAGAAGGACAGTAATCCCTTGGAGCCATTTAGGGATGCCGCTTCATTTGGGGATGCCAAGGAAGTCTGCGCAAAGCTATGAGAAAAACACTCACTTAGCCATGTAAGATTTACAGGGAACTTGATATTCCCAAGGAAGCAACCTTACTTACATCATCAGACTCCTGTAGGACCTACTTCTTATGTTGGATTGGGGGTGAGGAACTGCTAATGCTTGGAGGACTTGGGATATGGCAGTTTGTTAACCTTATTTTGCTAGCTAATGTCTAGTTAATGATGGCAGCAACTGTTGTACTGTGCAGAGAAGGGAGCAAACCTGTTGAGAGCTGATGTGTCATGGGAAAGTGAAGGAGCTTTCACTCCTGACTTCATCTCTGAAAACTGAAATTTCTTCTCCCATCTCAGATTAAGTTGTGAGTGTTCTGCCTCCCTTCGTGCTAATTTGCTGAGCTGTCATTCTCGGGCCATCTAGCTAGGACATAACAAATAATGAAAGCCATCACTGGCTAGCCCATGACTGATTGACAGTTCAACAAGCCAGTGACAGTGGGGAATAATGCATTCTGGGGGTGCATTAATATAAAATTCCCATACATAGTCCTGAGCGTCAGTGAATTTTAAGGAAGTATCTTGATAAGCCATAGTTCATCTATTCATTCTACTTGGCTAGTCAAAATTATAGCTTAGATTTTCCTTCACATGGGAGCAGGGAGTTCAGGATTGACCTCTCATTGCTCTTCTAGAAAGGTAAAGGTAAAGGACTGACTCTTCAGCTTATTAACTGTGACCTTGGATAACTCACTTCATCTCTCTTGGCCTCAATTTCCTTGTGTGTAAAATTAGAGGGTTGGACAAGATGACTGAGGTCACTTTCAACTCTCAACTATGAGCCTCTGATCTTTCCCCCTCCCTGAACCTGCCCCACCTCTCCCAATTTCCATATTTCTGTTGATGACATCACTATCCTTTCAGACACTCAGACTCAAAATTTCAAAGATGACCTTTTCCTTCACTCTCTGCATAAAAATAATAACTGTCATTTATATAGCACATTAGGGTTTATAATGCACTTTATATCCATTATCCCATCTGAGCCTCATAGCAACCCTATAAAATAGAAATAAGGACGATTTTGTTGTTGTTGTTGTTCAGTCATGTCTTACTTTTCATGACTCCATTTGAGGTTTTCTTGGCAAGGATACCAGGGTGGTTTGCCATTTCCTTCTCCAGCTCATTTTACAGATAAAGAAACTGAGGCAAACAGGGTTAAGTGACTTGCCCAGGGTCACACAGCTAGTAAGTGTCTGAGGCTGGATTTGAACTTTGTTTCTTCCTGACTCCAGGCCCAGTGCTCTATCCACTGTGCCACCTCACTGCCACTATGAAGATTATTATCCCCGTTTTACAGATAACAAAACTGGGGCTCCAAGAGGTTAAATGACTTGCCTACAGTAATAAAGCTAGAAAGTATCAGAGGAAGACTTCATTTCAACTCTGGTCTTCACAGCCCCAACTCCAGCACTCTATTCACTATACTGTACCATGCTACCTGTCTAGATCAAATCAGTTGCCAAGCTGCAATCCTGCCTCCTCCTATACCTCTTATATCTTAACTACCTCTTCATCACTCCCACTCCCACCACCCTCATTTGAGTGTTTATCACCTCTCACCTGAACTATCATAATCACTTTCTAACTGATCTCCTTGCCTTCACTCTCCCCATTCTATTCCATCTTTCATGTAGCTGTCAAATTAATCTTCCCAATGCACTGTTCTGACCATGTCACTCAAGGACCTTCAGAGATTCCCAGAAGCCTAATAAATAAAATATAAATTCCTGATGTTAAAAGCCCTCCACAACTTAGCTCCAATCTCTATATCCAGCCTTATCTCACACTGCCCCCGTCCTTCACACACATTGCGTACTATCCAAATTGAATTACTTACTGTTCACCGATCTCATCCTGCCCATTTCTTCTTCATCTCTAGCTCTTAAAATTTAAAATTAGGGAACCTAACATTTGGTTGTTATCTTTTGTTCTCGAAGAGGACCAACATGACATCACCATGCTACAGTCAAATTTCAATGTGTCTGACTGTGGCTGATAAGACCAATACTAGCTCGGAATGTTCTATCACAGGTCGGGCACAAATAGTCTGTATGAACATTCGGGGTGGATTCTCTAAATCCGCTCATCTTGAGTTTCTTTTGAACTTGAAACTTAAAATTTTCCTCGTCCTTAAAGGCTCAGCTCAGGAGACACGGCCTCTTGCACACCTCCTCCATGATACCCCCAACTAGAAGAGATTCTCCCCTCACATTTGCCTGAGCATGTACTCGGCTGCATCCTGTCTTGCCAATACTGGCCAAAAAGGGAGAAGATCACCCAAGTAAGAAGAGTGGGTAAAAGGATGTGGCTCAGTCAAGCAGCAAGAGCAAGTAAGCAATACCACAAGGACAGCCAAGGGTATTGGCATTCACCGTCTCTGAGAAGAACCAAAGACAGTGTGGTACAGTGGGAAGCATCCCGGATTTGAAGTTAGAGGATCTGAGTTCAAATCCCAGCCCTGCCATGTGTAACCTTGGACAAGTTACTTTACATCTGTGGGCCTCAGTTTCCTCATCTGTAAAATGAGGCAGTTAGACTAAATGGTCTCTAAAGTCCCTTACAGCATTCTGATCTTATTATCATAAGGGTTAAAGTGCATTGGGAAGAGATTTCATGAAGGATTTCTAGAAAGATATGAGGAGACAACAAGCATTTATTGCATTTATTAAGTGCTAGGCATGGTGCCAAGTGCTTTATAAATATCTCATTTAATCCTCTCAACAACTCTGAGAGGTAGGTGCTATTATGGTCCCCATTTTACAGCTGAGGAAACTGAGGCAGAAAGAGGTTAAGGGTAATATAGCCAATAAGTGTCCAAGGCCAGATTTGAACTCAGGTCTTCCTGACTTCAGGTCCACTGTGCCACCTAAGTGCATTGCATAGAATACATTGAATAAAAAGGCACAGATAGGTTACAATCTACCCTGGCAGAAGGAGCATGTAATTTCATTAATAGCAAAGCCAGCACTTTGCCTGGACTTCTCCTTCATCATCATTACATTTTATATTACCCCATATTTATTTGTGTGCATGGCCTTCACCCCTTTCAGACTGCAAACTCCAGGAGGGCAGGTCCTGTATTGAGCCAATCTTTATAACCCTAGTTGGGAGCACAGAGCTTCATGCATCGTCACACTTAGTAAATAAATGTCTGCTGAGTTGAATTGAAAATGTCCTTTCTTGCCTGGTTGTTTCTGTGCGCTCCAGGAGGCTGGAAGGACTGATCTTGCTAATTAGGAAAACGCATTAAGAGCATGACTTACAGATGGTTCTAGAGACTGCACGTCTCATTTGCATTGAGCTGTTATCTTATTGATTGTGTTAAATTAGGAGATCGTCCCACTGTCTGAGACACTCCGCCATAACTATGAAATCAGTTATTATCGAGAGGCAGCATGGGCCCCAATCGCTCTTGAATCACCCTTCTGAAGGCTGCCAGACGACCCCTGATAACTATAGCTGAGTTTCTACTAAAAGCACAGGCATCAGCAGAAACTGCCTGGTGATTCTCATTGGTACCGGGTCTGGTGAACTCCCTTTGTGTATGAATGTTCACTTGAGTGTTCACTCATACACATGAGCAGCAGCTCTCTGTGGAGCCCAAGGACAAATCTTTCTGTGTGACCTTGGGCAAGTCACTTGTCCCTTGGCCTCAATTCCCTCACCTAGAAAATGAGAAAGGTAGACAAGATGGTCCTTTCTAGCTCTAAAATACTACGAACCACCAGGCAGAACAGGGACCAGGTATCATAGCTCTGCCCCAGCCCCAGATCTTCCTGGATATTTTATATCTTTGTGGTAAAGGAAGTGAGGTGGCACAGTGGATAGAGCTCTGAGCCTGGAGTCAGAAAGACCCCAGTTCAGATCTGACCTTACTAGCTGTATCTGGATGAGTCACTTCACCTCCATTTGCTTCAGTTTCCTCAGATGTAAAAAGGGGATAATAATAGCACCTCCCTCACAGAGTTGTTGTGAGGATCAAATGAGGTGATCATTATAAAGCACTTGGCACAGTGGCCTAGCACGTAATAGGCACTATATAAATGTTGGCTATTAGAAATATTATGTGTATCTCCATCACTTAGCATAGTGCCTGGCACATAGGAAGCACCATGTAAATGTTAACTACTATTTATTATAGTATACAAAGCTAAAAGGGGGCTTACAAAATCAACTACTCCACCCTCCTCATTTTATAGTAAAAGAAATTATCTGAGAGAGAAGTGGCTTACCCAAGGTCATACAGGTAACAAAGGTGAAATTAGAACCCAATTCCTCTTCCTCAAAATCCAGAGTTCTTATCATTACATTGGACCAACCAGGTCAACTCCTCTTCCCTTTCCCCATCCATTCGGGAGTATAGGGGCCAGAAAACAGAGCATCATTTTACATAGAGCAAAAACAATTAAGAGAGGAGATAGAGGCCACCACAGCTACCACATATCTTGGTACAGGTGTGTAAGGAGGTTTTTGTCCTGCTCTGTAAATATAAGAAGGAAGGGGAAGGAAAAAAATGGAAGGGAGAGAAGAAAGGTTAGGGGGAGGAAGGAAGAAAAAGGTGGGGAGAAAGTGAAAGGGAGAGGGGACAGAGAGGAATCACAGTTCTCCTTTAGGATGATTACAGGGGTGAGCTGTGATGAATGGCTGTAACCTGGGAAGGAAGACAGCAGGCACCTCCAGGCAACTGGTCACCAGCAGAAGGAACCAGCAAATTCATCATTTGGTTGTCAGAAGATGACCTCCAGCTGCCTTTGAGGCTGGTTTTTACTCCCAGCTCACATGGGAATGGGCACTGCCAGCAGTGGGCATCATCAATGACAGGACCAACTCAGGCAGTCTTTCTACCTCCTACAGACAGGAAGAAAGTGATTAACTTAGTGCTGTGGACCATGAGCCCCACATCCCCTAAAAGAATGGCGGAGCCCTTGAGAGGTCCTGGAAAACTACAATGTGTATGTCCCATCTTCCTCCTCCTACCCCTGACAAAAGTGTAAATCCTGTGCTTTCAACACTGGGATCCCCAGCCTGGGATGGCTGAGTATCCTGACAGATGCAGCTTTAAAGCTCCTTCCCTCCACTGGGTTTAAGCAATGTTTCTGCTGCAAAAATTTTATGAGGATGAAAGAGTATAGAGCAGTTGTGATTGACTGCATTGGTAGAGAGAGTGAAAAAGTCCCTACTTATATACTGCTATAGAAAATACTTTACACACATTATCTCAGTAAATCCTCATTAACAGCCCTGTGAAATATACAATGTAAATATTATGATGCCCATTTGACAGATGAGGAAACTGAGGCTTCCAGATAAGAAGCAACTTGAAGAGGGAAGGTCATGATGACACTTGTGCTACCTATCTCACAAGGTTATAGCCCTGGAGAATTGTAGTTTCATAGTCACAGTAAATGCCAGAGCTAGGACCCAAATCCTGGTCCTTTGACTACAAACTTTTCCATTGCACCATTCAAGCAAGTGAAACCCTGAATCCAAAATGATAAAAGATAATAGGATGCAGGGAGGTGGGTAGTGTGTGGGAGAGGGGAGACCTCAAGATGTCACAGATCTAGGGTGGACCTCAGAAGCTATCTAGGCCAACATTCTTATTTTACAGATAAGAAAACAGAGGCCCAGGGAGGTTAAGTAACTTGTCCCAGGTCACACAGGTGGTAAGTGTCAGAGGCAGGCTTTGAACCTCAATCTTCTTACTCTCGAGTCAGTATTCTTTCAACTGCATCACACTACATTCTTCTCAACAGCAAGAATCTAGAAAAGTAGGTGGAGCTGTTCAGGTGATCTGGAAAAGTGTTGATTAGGCATGGAGCTCCCCCCGGTCAGTCACAGAAGCTGAGAACTGGAAGGCACTGGCCTCAGAAGGCATGTAGTACCACTTGTCCCTGAAGAGAGCTTCCCTCTACAGCACTCCTAACTAGTGGCCATCCAGCCTTTACTTGAAGACCTCTAGACTAGAGTAAAGGCAGAGTGGGTTGAGTAATTCAATAAGATCCCCCCACTCCTCCCTTTCCTTTCCTTCCCACACCTCCTGGACTAAAATAAGTGTATGCCTCAATACATGGTGCAATGTGTTCCGATTGAATCAAATCAAAGGAATTCCAACTAAGTGTGAACGGGTCTTGACCAACTTAGATGTCTCTGATGAGCCATTGGAGAACTGCAGTGATGGTGCATAGGATAAGTTTTATATTGGCTGAGGAAACTTGGTCATGTCCTAGTAAATTTGGGGGGAAAACATCTTTGCATCAAATATCAAGCTACTTAAGAACTGAAGGTATTTGAGAGATGGGTGTGAGCATAGTTTTCCAGTAAAACTGATGAGTAGGAAGGGGCAACTAGATGGTTCAGTGGATAGAATGCTGGGCCTTGAGTCAGGAAGAGCTGAGTTCAAATCTGGACTCGGAAACTTACTAGCTAGTGACCCTGGGCGAGTCACTTAACCTCTGTTTCTTTAATCCACCGGAGAAGGCAAATCGCTCCAGTATTTTTGCCAAGAAAACCCCAGTGACAGTATTGGTGCGCTACGGCATGCAGGGGTCAGGAAGAGTCAGACGTGACTGAACAACAACAATAAAGGAAGGATTTGGGAGGAAAGGAGAATCCCTTGGCTTTGGCTTTGGCTAACAGTACAGCAGAACTAGATTCAATGGGGGAAGGCAGACTCAGAGCTCCACAAGGAACCCAACAAAGAAATTACACCTTGCTTAAGGGGAATATCTCAGAAAGTGGCGAAAAGTACTTTTATCAACCAGGCACTGTCAGATAATCCAATGCTACATGTGCTCCCTAAACTCAAGCACATTTGATCCTGGACTCTGTATGTGCTTGTGGGAAAGTGTGTCACAGAAATGGG